GGGAAACATTTCTTTAAACAGCTCCACAATTCCTTCGTTGGAGTTCAATGAGTGGTGTTTAACTGCAGTGTTTAGACACCACAGAGCCTCCGCACGCAGTGTTGGTGTGGCGCCCATAGTCACCCGGAGGTCAGACGTAGTTCCTGGAGCCGAAACGTTGGCTTGTACTGTGGCACTAGTTTGCGGTGGTGGTGGTGCAGCAGCACAGAAAGTTGAGAGTAGAGTTAATTGCTCTCGCCTACCGCGCATTCCATTTTTATGTTTAGTTGATTGCATATGCGACCGAAGTGCGCTAGCTCCCATCCAGTTGACATTGATGTTTTTTTTTTACAAACCGAACAATAAGCCTGCCGGTTATTCCCTACTGCAGGCCTGAGCCAGTCCTTAAATGCTCCAGCTGTCAGAAAACTTGCATTTGCCCATAACGACGACGATGGTTGTCTGGACTAGTCAACAATGTAAGCTAGCCAGTTAGCTATCCAGTTGAGCTGAGCGCGCAAAGTGTTTGAGATGTCGAACGACCACTGAATATGACGTCAGCATCAAACATACAAAGTTGAGACTAGACGAGTATCTTTGATTATGTGCCCCGATATGCTAAAGCCCACATTTAAACTTTAGCAGATAGAATTTCAATCAGAATAGGACACCATAGTCTGAAACAATAATACCTATTTTTAAAAAATAATACCTCTAAACCAAATTAAACACTTTTTAATGGCCTTAAATTTGGCGATTTTGATTAATCACTTTTTAATACTTTTTAAAAACCCCGCGGACACCCTGATGTAAATATTCACTCAGTAGTCTGCTAATATCACTGACCAGCAGTGTACATGGAACAAAGAAAGTCTGGTGCTGTAATCAGCAGCAATTATAAAGCGTAATTTACTCAACTGCATCCGGTGTGTGAAATCCACACGGGGTCGCACATGTAACCTTATACATGTTTCACTGTTTTTAAAATAACACAGTAAAATTATTTTGTAATCACCACGTTCTTGGAGAAACTGTGGTTGGCCAGAGGACACAGCCAGTGGATGTATCGCCCACATTATCCTCGCAAAAACAGACACAAAGTATATCCTTGCAGTAGTAACAAAGGTATGTCTATGTGAAACTTGTCTGTTTGAAGAAACTGTAACTCAACAGTGACAGCAGTGCACAGTGAAAACTGCAGATCACCTCTGGCTGCATCCTGTAAGTAGCCTACAGATGGTGCATCCTGACACGTCGTAGCATTGTTTGACCATATTCATGTCCATAGCCACACACAGAGGACTACTTTATTTATCTTATTTAAAAATAATCTTCATGAGACACAATATATTTCTCAGAGTGAATTCCAGCAGATCAGTTGTCGATTTAAGGGTTAATTTAAGTTGGTGTGGCCATTAAAATACATTTGAGTACCTGAAGTCATGCTTGCCAGCCTATGCGCTTGTCAGTAAAAATTGCAAATGCACCTGTGAATGCGATAAGAGGTGGTCTGAGCAGGTGTTATCGTTATTTGGGGTCAAAATGAGCACCGAAATTGCACTGCACTGCCTAATTAGCATACACATGGCCTCAACTGCACCTCTCATCCCACCTCAGTTTAAACACATTCATTTATGGCAGGAAAATACCAAGCACACCAATTTGCAACAAAAAGTAGACGTGCAAGAAAACTGCATAAGGACTGCAAATGAGGCGATGCAGAAACTGAGCTGGCAGGAAAATAAAGCCCTATGTGTGTCTATGAATGTGCACATATTACTCTTACCTTTGAGTCTCTGCACTGTACTGACCCCTGCCCACTTGGTTGACAGCACAAAGCCTGAACTGATAGGTCCTGGCAGGTGTGAGCCCGCCCACCGACACCTCAGTCACTGCAGGATTGACCTCCGACAGGTAGACCTTCCATGGAGAGTCTAGACAGAAGACACAAAGATTGGAGGCTGATAATACAGTATCTGGCTGAGGCAAGACAAACAGGCACGGGGACACTCAGCACCCATATATCAAAAGGGAAGACGGGAGGGATATATAAAATAAAAAAAAAGAGCAAGAAGGGACAGTAAAAAGGAAGGGGGGTAAACTGGAGGGAATTATAAAGGAATACGTAGCATAAGATGCAACGAGAAAGAAACTTTGGAGGGAAGAGGGGGATTAATAAAGAAGCATAGATGCTGCTTATTTTTCAGTCTTTCTCCTGAAGATACCACAGACAGATGCTCTATTATCATCACACCAGCCACATGTGTATCTCTGCAAGCGAGAGGGATAGCGTCTGTGCAATTTTAAGCTGCCACAGCAAGTATGTTTAAGCTGCTGTCTGACTTGAAAATACACTGCATTTATAGTGGTCCATTCTCTCTAAAATACAATCTAAAACATCTAATATATAAAACATAAATGGGCACACACACATACACAGTGAGTACTCTGTGTGCGCAGCTCTCATCCATTACTCACTGTCTGGATTCGGTCTTCACTGGATTGGACATTCAGACTCTGCATCTTTCTCTGGATCTCTCCATTTTTCTCTCCTCTCTCTTATAATAACACACCTTTTCCTGTCATTATTTTGGTGTATTTTTGTAGATCCTACAGAGC